CTTTATTCTGTCTGCTGTAGATCGATTTCAATTTTATATTGTCTTAGCTACGTAAACCAATAAACAAACAAAACGAACGATTCTATAAAAATCTATAAAATATTTCCCATTTTCGATTTTTGAAAAGTCCATATACTTAATCCTCGAGGATTTTATAGAATAAGAATCGTCGACAATTTTTGACTTTCTATAAAATTTAATTGTGAGATCTATGCCGATTTTATAAAAACCACAAAATCCGATTTTAGAGAATCTTAAAAATCGCCTCGATTTTATATAAAATTAAACGTTCGGTTTTATAACTTCCTATAAAATCGACAATGACTTTAAAGAAAGTTATAAAATTTGATTTCAGACATATTATAATATCCTCGAGGATTAAGTATATGGACTTTTCAAAAATCGTCATGTATTTTATATAAAATCAACACAATTTACAGTGCAGGAGAAAAATCGAACCTCAAGTTTTCGGACTTCAGAATAAGCGTTACTTGTGATGCATACATTCAAAATTTCTTTAATTTACTTCTTGTGTGTACTCGACGTATTGTGCAGATCATTTGAACTTTCTGGGAATAACAGTGTTCTCTTACTGACAAAGAATAGAACATCTAATTACAGGTCCTTTAGAAAATGATTATTGTTTTGACGATGTCTGCGTCATGCGTGTTAAGTGAATGTGAAGTTAAGGGTATGCCGATGGAAGATGTGCAACAGTTTCTTTCGGCCATCTCTAGTGAATGTACTTGCGAGCAGGTACTTGCTTACTTGCAAATTTCTGCGGATACCTGACAAGTACTTGACATGTATTATAGGACTTGGCAAGTATTTTCCCATTAGTTCCGAGTACTTGGTTTGTTTAGAACAGAAATCAAGTAGTGCAGAATTTATTCAAGAACAGCACTTGCCAAGTACGTTATTTATTTGTTAAGCTTTCCGCAGATTGTGGGTTACCTGGGCAAGTACTTATTCAAGTGCTTGGCAAGCACATCAAGTACTTGAGTTACTCGCAAAAAGGTCAAGAACGTTGGGGAAGACTTTTTCAGGGTACTTGGACAAGTACATCCATTAAGGTACCTAGTAGGCGTGTTCGAACTATTAATTTACACCATGGAAAAAACATTCATTTTTTATCTTACTTTTATATGCAATCTATTTATCTACTAGTCATCTTCATCTCTGAGACATTCTCTCTTTGTTATATGACCAAACTGTCAATCGGGTAAGATGTTAAAGGACTGAACGAAAGATAATATGACTCGACTGGGATTAGAACACAGAATCATGACGTTCCGCGTCAATGCTCTAACTACCCGAGCTATCGAGGCACAGTTTCATCTCATCCTCTTCCGTAAGGATTTTTTCTTCATACTCTTTAATTGATTTTTTACCTGTAGGAACTCGGCTTTGATGAGTATGCTATATAAACAATGATAAACCACTGTACCGTATTTTATTTATTAAAGAGAAGATGCTACCTGCACAATCATCAGTTTCGAGTCAATGTTCGCTCGACGAATTTGAATTAGAACAAGAATCATGGCCAGGTAACATGGACTCTGTTTCGTGGGAATTCAATTATGAACAGCAACCGTTTTCAAATGAGGTCGAATTCTATTCACGCACTGATATTGCTCAGCTGGTAAACAATAGTACCAGTTTCTCCAACAGTATTACTTCTAGTCAAGACAACATCGTTCATCAACAGCAACAAGTTGAGTTGCAGAGCTTGGCAAATCAAACGCGGTCGCTTTCCACTGTTCCAGTTTCAAATCAACTATCAAAAGAACTCAATGGTTCTAGTTCCAACTTTTCAACTTCTATGGATGATACCACTCTCTTGCCAACAACTCCCACGAGAATGTTATCACGATTAGTTGATATTGCTGATTGGCTAGTGGTCGATGGCACGACAAAACGGAAACGACGCCCGTATCTGCACGAGTTCCTCCGGCGATTGTTAGATAATCCAAAATGTCATGACTTGGCAACATATATCGATCCTCAAAAAGGCATATTTAAACTGCACAAACCAGATACTGTTGCTGATCTGTGGAAATATATCAAAGGAAGAAATAGTAAAAAGAGAATGACCTATGGCAATTTCTCTAGAGGAATCCGCTACTACTATCCAAAAGAAGTAATGAATGCGATTCCAGGCCAATTTACATATTGCTTTGGACCGCAATCGGGTTTTGGTAAATTATGGGGACCATGTTCACAATGATTCTTGTTTTTTGAAACATGTATTTATCCACCATAACATTTCAACCTCGTCCGTAGTTTAACTAATGTGAACTGCTTCTAAGTCTACCTAGTTTGTAGATTCAACTCGACTAATTTTTACTAATTTTTATTTTGCATCCATAATCGCTAGACGTACATGACATCACGGGGAAAAGAGTCCTGCAGGTCACATTCTGTATTTTTCTATGTAGTGTATCCATCCTCGATTAACAACTAGGGACTTTTGAGATGAGTAGCTATTCGAAAAACTTGAAACGGCATCAACCATGAAAGACAGTGGTTTCCTTGGCTAATTTTGTTTACATAACGATTAATTAAAAATACGCGCTTATCTCAGGTACTTGTTACAAGAGAATCATGCATAATCTCTTCCGCACTTTGCAATCCTTTTCTTTGTCCTAGTTAGATCATGTTTGACATGTAAAAAAGGTGCCACAAACTCAAGTAGTCTGTTATCGAGTATGGTGTCTGTCTTTGTTATTACCTTTTTCTGCGAAAATCACGAATCATCCAAAATTAGTTTGAAGTTATTTCAAAAGCCGAATTAGTTTATATTTATTTGGAATAAATTAGTTTAAATGAATGTCAATGCCTCAAACTGATGTGAATAAATTTTCAAGAAGAAAATTAATGAAGAATGTGTTTAAAGAAAACTGTTTTACTCTGCTTGAGACTAGTTAATTAATTTGGATTAATTAAAACTACAAACCATTCTGAACTCTTTCTGAATAAATGGATTTAAAGTATTTCAACTACTGAAGGTCATTTATAATCCAATCCAATTTTTTTGATTTTAATAAAAGTTGTCTGCCATTAACTGAATGTGTATACCTGATCTACATAGGAGCGACCATCTCTTAATGCGGAAAAGTCTCGCTGAAATAACTGAACAAGAATCAAAAATAATGGTAAGCCACGTTTACCATTTGATTTTGATTTCGGTTCAGTTATTTTAGAGAAAGTTTTCTGTAAAATCAAACTGGAAATCGATTGCATATCATTTATAACACTATTAAAACCGTTTAAATTAGCTTCTATACTAGATTTACATCAGTTGGAGAGCTAAAATTAGTTCGAATTAATCTCAGATTGGAAAGTAGTTTAAACAAATCTGCTATTAATTGATTTAATTGAATTAGATCTCGTAAATTGATTTGGATTAATTTGACAATAGAAATTAATTTTAATTTATTTCGGTTTTTACAGATCCAACAACTTCAAAATCTCCAAACTTCCTGTTGAGTTTCCTAGAGATCCTTGCGTTTCTAAACAATTAAGATCTAGTTGCAAAATCAGAGCCCATCAGTCAACGTAGAATTCTTCTCTCTTCCGACCGAAGCAGATCAGAATTTTAACTGCGGTTACATTAAATGATAAAAGGATGCATTCTACAGTAAAAACTGCTTTATTAGAAATACATGAGGACTTGGAAAAACCACCCCTTATCTGCAGTGACAAGTGCATTGATAAGTGATTCGCGATCTGCTCTCTTTCGTAGGGTATTCACATATCGTCATGGGGTCATTGATCATTCTTCTTTGCGAAATGTAAACGCGATGATCTAGGGGAACCATATATCGTCGATAATACTGAAAACGGGAGATTGTTTTTTGGACACTATAGATTAATCATTTAGTGGTTTTTTTTTCGAAAACAGTGTGAATTCACATACGATCCAGAAGTGGAAGGAAAAACATCAGCAATCACTAATGACAGAGCGAGTTTATATCGAGGTAATTCACAGTCGTGATGATACTAATCTTTTCGCCCATTTCTCACTTTCGTGCATTTTATTTTGAGATCTTACACAATCACTATGCATAACTTAGCCTATACAATGTTTAGAGACTATTTTTATAATCCGCAAAATTGTTTCTGAGAAAGATAGTTTAATTTTGTAATTGAGATGGATTTCACTCTCTTTCTTTATGTCTCTCAAATTCTCGTGTACTTATCTCAATGTAAAACGTTCACCTTATTTAGTTCATTTTTTAACGCCAAATAAGTAAGAAAGTGCAGAATAAGATACTTACGTAGTTTTAGAAGGTCTTCGAGTTTTTCGCCATCTGCTCTCTTTTACGTATCATCATTTTCTTTTCTTTCTCATTGCTCCATAACGATTAGAATTCTACCATGTAAGTCTTATTTTTCTTTTTCTGTATGCCACATATCTATATCCGAATGTAACATTAAGTAAGACTGTGGTTTGGCTCTTGTTTTGAACAGATCTTGCCCCTCTTTTCTTAAATGTCTTTTACTGCTAACAGACATTTGCTAACATTTGCCAGGATGTGAAAAGATAGAGATAGTCCTTATTTCATACGGCTCTACTAACAATTAAAGAGATTTAAGAAAAGAGGGCAAGATCTATTCAAAACAAGAACCGAAGCACAGTTTCATGAGAAATGAACTACTCTAGAAACGATACATTATCAGAAATTTGGAGATTAACTTTTGCGTAATGGGAAAGAAAGAACATGAAAGAAGAAGTAAATGAATAATTTCATTCTTTTCTCATAACCCTAGTGATCGCTCCTTACAAAAGAATCTGACAGGAATCTGATAAGAAACTTATAAGAATCTTATTAGATTCTTATTGAATTCTTACATAAGAAGTCCGCACGAAAGTGATAAGAATTTGATAAAAGCAGATAAGGATCAGTTAAGAATTCGACAAGAAAAGGGCAAGAACTGACAAAAACTTCCAATGTAAGATATTTAGGTCTGCTGCTATCCTTCGACTTAACATGGACAAGTCATATTAACAAGATTCTGTTTCCAGTATCTTCTATAGTCGGCATAATGATGTTTTACAAACATACACTACGCAAAAATGTTCTTGAGATTATTTATAAGTCTTGTATTTTATTGGTTTTAAATTATGGCTCAATAATTTACTCACTGACTGCAGAAACGAATCTCATTAAGTTAGAAAGTCTACAGTATCAAGCGGCATTAACTGTCTCAGGAGCTATGAAAGGTACATCGAAAGAGAAGTTATATGAAATATTAGGATGGATTAATGGAAAGAATCACTTTAAAATTTTGTGATTGTTGACTTTCGCAAAAATCATAAAAGGATTAGCACCTCTCTACTTAACTCTACAAATTCACCAACCGAATAGAAGCTACAATTTACGTTGCAGTCAACAATCCTTCTTTATAGCAGTAAATAGTACAGATAGAGACTTTATTACTGTTGTTGCGTGAGAATGGAATGACCTTACATTGAATGACACGAATTTATCAACTACGAAAATATCTAAATTATGCGATACCTTAAAAAGTCAGTATATGTCACCGGATGTTTTTTCTAAAAAGCTAAAGTTCTCTACGCGACGGGAGGAAGTGATCTTCATGCTGATAAGAGCAAATTTTCCACCGCTAAATTACTATCTCCGCCGGCGTAGTTATACAGTTTCACCTAAATGTAATTGCGGAAATAATAGGGAGGATATCCAGCATTATTTTTTGTACTGTGTCCTATATAATGCTCAACGACAAGATCTTTCACAAAAACTTTCTTTTATGCCTACTTTCTCAATTGACACCTTGTTACTGAATGGCTTAAGTTTTGATCATAATACTTTAACATGTTTACTGGCTATAGTCATCTTGTATATTCAACAAACGAACAGATTTGAATAACTGCAGGCATGGTAATTTTTATGATATTCATCCTTTCTCTGTCGTCTAGCCTGTCTTCGTAGTCTTCCTAGTTTTTAGGTCCATAATGGTCTTTGACCGCCGACCTTTTTTTATCAGAATCAATAAAAATATACAACAACTTCCAATGTTTCTTTTCCTTCTTTCGTTAGCAGTACAGTTCATTAGTGAGTGTGTAAGAGATCGCGAGATATTTTCAAAACGACCAGTCTTGCCGACCTTGAAGAACCTTTGAAAACGTTTTCAAGAAATCAATGGTGCTTATATAGTATATATAGTATGTGCTTCTGCAAAATAAAACGGTGATTGGTTTTTAGTAAGAATTTCATAAAGAAGTGTTAAGAAAGTAATAGGAGCGACTTATCAAAGTCATAGCTCATTCTTATTCAAATCTTATCAGATTCGTACGAAATTCTTGCCATTTTCGTGCGGACTTCTTATATAAGAATCCAGTAAAACTCGCATAAGATTCTTATCAGAAATAACGAAACATGTTTGTCTAGGGAATGTGATCCAATCGTGGCAAGTTTTGGTTAAAATACAGACCTTTAAACTTACAACTGATGATATTTATTGCTATTTAAATAACTATACTAAATTTTTAAATGAGAACTTTACGCTTTTTAAAAGCGAATCAAAATTTTAACTGCGGTCACATCAAACGATAAAAGAGTGCTGAAAACTGTGCTAAAAACTGCTTCATTAGAAATACGTGAGTACTTGGAAAAATCATCCCGTATCTGCAGTGACAAGATAGAACGGATTATATGGATTGATTTAATTTAGTGTCATTTCTATCGAATGTAATTGAGATCAATTTCTTTTACATGAGAACATCTGTGACTGGAGGACATTTTCTCTCGGTTGTGCACACGAATGTGTTAACACAACTCGAATTATTATTAAGACTTTAATCATCTGTTTTGCCAATGTTAAATGATATTTAAAATGGCTTTTTCCAATAAATTTTCGTCATGTCGATGAATCAATAATCGTGTACATATAAACAATGATGTAGCATCATTGTCTGATATTAAATCATGAAGAAGAGGAGGATGTACCTCATGATATTTACTTTTTTGCCCAGATTTTAGAACTGAACCGAAACTTTAACATTAACATATAGTTTGACAAAGTTATGGCTTTTATAAGTTGCATGTACAAACCTAAAATGTTTATTTTAAAGTAAGGGAAGAATCTTTTTCATGCACAATATGCATTTCTCAGAAAAAGTTTTTTCCTTCTACTGATATGGAAATAACATGCTGCTAGATGTAATTAGCCATGCTCTATCCAAGCATATGTAAATTATAG